CCCTCCCTCCGTCCATTTCAAATTCAGTCCACACAGCAAGCACGTGGCTTGGGTTTAGCCTCCGGAATGCCGCGCAGACACGCCCGCGTGCCAAAACGGAGCGATGAAGCATCCGGAAATGAGGCTTCCAGTAGTAAAGATAGTGACAGTGCTGCCGAAACTCCTAGATCATCGCTACGCCAGCGAGCCCCGACGCGCAAGAAGAAACGACCGAGCACGCATATTTCGCGTCGTAGAACCCGAAGTGGGGGTAAGTTGCCTAAACGCCGAAAACGTGACCATAAGAAGAGGCGCTCTCGCTCACACAGCCGTGGAATGTCTTCGGACGTCTCTGGATCTGACGCTATCAGCACCAATGCCAGCTCAGAATCCTCCGGTGCGTCTGAATCGGACACTACCAGCGGAAACAACGCTACCGTTTCGAATCGTGGCTCTGGGGATGGTGGTATCGTCGCTCGGGATGATTTGGTTCACGTTTCGAAGATTGACGTGAACATGTTCGATGACTGGAAGACACTGGAGGCGTACTTACGGAACTACGGTCGCCGAACATACCAGGTGTGTGTGCCAATCTCAAGTTGTGGCACAGTCTGAGACTGTATCACATTATTACAATGCTTATCATTGTATTCTTGTCGATTGATGCTGATTCTGTATTTATGTTGTGTGATAGATATTTTCTGTTCGAACAAACATGAATTAACGAGCCCGTACGAAGTGCGCACGGTTCAGAGGCCGTGTATAGGACGGATCAAGACCGAACGTGAGAAGTTCAACGAGCTTTTTGGTCTTGGAAGACAGATTGCAGACGTGGGTTCTCGGTGGGGCACTAGGGCACATGAGACGCTGTCTAAGGCGATGATGCAGTTCTTGGATAATGTTAAAGCTGGTCAGTGCCCCACTGTTAGCGTTCTTGAAAATTCATACATAAACCTGAGTCTACAACGAGATGACGGCGAAGAGCAGCGTGAAGCAGAAGTGCTGGATTCTCGTATTACGGACACAGCTACAGCTCAGTCTGAAACGGTTCCACAACCTGACTCTGGCTGTGGAACCGTTTCAGCTTCAGACTGTGTTAGATGCTAACACTGATGATCAGGATATGGAGGAGGTCCGGTTGTCTCCTAAAGGAAGGGCGCTTTTATCGCTTATTGAAGAGATGGAGGATGAATTTACAAACAGTGATCAAGGTACTACTCGCTACGAGTGCGAATCTGAAATCATGTCTCGGGCTATGGACCAGTCTGAAACGGTGCACCAATCGGAAACTGGGTACCAATCGGAAACTGTGGACAAATCCAAAACGCTGTGTGAAGCTGTGAACCCTACCGGAGCTGCGGAGCAGTCAGAAAACGATGATGTGTTCAATCAGCGAACTGTGTCATTTCCAGATAATGACCCATCTAAACCAGAGAGCGTAAAACTAAGCTGGAAGGTGTTTAAAACAGCAAAGAAGTCGGGACGTCCAAAGATAAAAAGAGCAGAGCGAAAAAAGGAGACACTTGAAGAGCTTCGTCAGACGAATCGTCTAGTGGACGCCGTGGCTAATGGAGATACACCTTCGTTGTCAATCCTGGAAGAGGCTGTTACAAATGGGGCCACATATAAATTCGCACTTGCGATGCGAGCACGTTCAATTATTCAAACGAAGCGAGCAAAAATTACGGTGATTCACCGGGAAAAAAAGCAGCCAACCCCCACAAAAAATGTGATGACTGTGCTACCAAGGCAAAGAATTGATGCGTGTGAGGTTCAAGTAGCCCTATTCCAGAATCGTTGGTTCAGCGACCATAAACATCGAATATCGCAACAGGATGTAACCGTGGTGACAGGAAGAACCGCGTATGATGTGAAAACGCTCAAAGCAATGCGGTCGTGGCATACAGCAGTCTCGCACTTTGATATCATTGATGAAGCCATAAAGTGGGTGGAAGATTTTGATAGCTGTCAATGGCAACCACGTGAAGCTGTGTGGGCTGAAGGAATACTAGAAAAAGACGATATTTGTAAGGGACTGAAGAACGTGGACGTGCTTGGCGATTTTTTCTGGGCTACATCGCTGTGTGGGAGAACAATGATCGAAGGGCCTTGTCTCGATACCGCGGTGAAAGCAATTGTGAAGCGCAACAGCGACAAAATTATTGTTTTTAGTATTCCTTCCGACGTGCTTCGCTTCCCCAATTTCGACGTCGAATCCATAAAACATCAAGCAGTCTGGAAAGACCTTAAAAATGCCAGAGCCAGTATGGATCTCGACAAGGATAGACTCCTTTTTTTCGCGGCGATAAACTATGGGCTTAATCACTGGTGCGCTGTGACTGTGGATTTTAATTCCAACGAGGTGAAGGTTTACGATCCTCAGCAAGCTGGAGATAGGTTCAAGCAACTTCGAGCGTACTTGAAGAGTGAATTGCTTTCTCGGTTACCTCAACTGGAGTCTCCAAAGCGATTTCGATTCACGCGATGCCAGTGGCTCACGCAACTGGATAACTACAACTGCGGTGTCTTCGTTCTAATGTTTTTTGAGCTGTGTATTCTCGGATATGACTTCGCGCCAAGTGATCTCGAGGGAAAAATTAGTCCTGCGATGCAGTTCTATCGCTACCGATATCTTAGCCAGAGAATAATTGCTATGTAAGCATGCTTTCTTTTACAAATTGAGTCGCCTTCATAATAAAATACGTCAGCAAACTGGCGCGGGGCGAGCACCTCTTCGACTTGGGGACAAACATCATCAAGACTTAGATGAAAATGACTCTTAGTTCATAAATCTCACTTGACACCGACATTCACTCCTGTAAGGTGTTTCTATTCTACACGAAGCCGCACCGACTTCGTCCAAAATCGACTTGCTTATGCATGAAAAACGGATAATCAGATGGCGGCACCAACGTTGACTTTCCAATCCCTTGACCCGGTTATGAACTCAAACTGTGTAAGACGGTTCGGAACGGTGCACCAGGTACACAGTCAAGAAAACAAACGGTGTACGTAGTCTTTGCCAACATAATTTGGATTCCGGACAAAGCAACCGAGCTGCAACTTGGTGTTTGTGTGGTTGGTCATTTTTGGGTCGCGGGTCATCGTGGAGTGGCAACGACGCTGGAAAAGATGAGGGCCGAGTTTTTCTGGACGGGCATGAGCAAAGATGTTGAGTTCTTTGCTCGACGATGTCTGCAGTGTGCGAGCACACGCGGTGGTCCACCACATCTAGGGTATTAGGCGAAGGAATGCACGCAGAGCACCCGAACGAGCTCATCCACTTGGACTATTTGATCATGGGAGTCAGCTTACATCCTGGTTATTAAGGACGATGCGTCCAAGTACGTGTGGCGGCTATCGTGTGCAACAGCAGACGTAGATACAGCATTTAACGGCTTGCTTAAGTGGTTTGCTTCGTTCGGAGTGTGTCGCACCTGGGTCAGCGACCAGGGCACACACTTCAAGAACAAAACCATTGGGGCTTTGCAACACGCATTAGGTGCGCACCACCACTTCACAACGGCAATATGCCCGTGGTCAAAAGGCACCGTGGAAGTGGTGATGCGCGAAGCGCTCCGCTGTTGCCGTGCCCTTATATCCAAATGAAGAATGCAGCCACAGGAATGGCCACGAGTGGTGGAGATCGTGCAGATGGTGCTCAACAACGTACCGTCGCCATCGCTAGGAGGCGTGGCCCCCATTGCGACGATGACGGGACTACCGGCAATGTCTCCAACCGATCATTTCGCGTTTCCAGGACCGACTGAAATGGCTACACGGGCAAGTATACAGGCATTGAAGCAAGACCACGTGAAAAATCTGCGCATAGTACTTGATGAAATGCATCGTTGTACAAACCAAGTGAACCGCGAGGAACGAGCTGGAGCTCGTATGAGTCACAACAAAAAGTTAGGAGCAGCTGTGGCACAGTTCGACATCGGTGACTACGTGCTGTACGCCGATGTCTGGCAGCATACACGCAGTCAACTGCGTGTTAATTGGTGTAGACCGGCACAGGTGACAGGGACGGTCTCCAATTGGATTTTCGTGATAGAGAACCTCATCACTGGGCAGGGACGTGAAGCTCATGCTAGCCGTCTTAAGGTTTACGCAGACAGTTCTCTGAACGTGAGGGATGACGTGTTGAAGCACGCTGCTCACAACAGTTAAGGGCACGTTGTGGACAAGGTGCCTAATGCGCGCTACAACTCGGAAGCAAAGCGCCATGGAATTGAGGTGCGCCGGAGAGGTCTGAGTAATAAAGAGGACTCCCTAAGATCCAGCAGACATGCTGCTACAAGACGTTCCAGTGGCTGTGCGAGCCTTTGTCAGGAATAACCACAAGCAGAGCGAAGTGGGAGCTCTGGGTAAAGCGCTCCGGATCAAGTAGACAATCGACTACAAGATCGCGTAGAGCTCAAGAACTTCGACTACGTCATCGAAGGGGGAAGTGCTGTCGCTAATGCTAAAAAGTGCAGCAACCGCTGAGGTTTCAGCTCGGCGGTAACAGCACTTGCTTTAGTACAAGTGCAACACTTTGAAGTTTACAACGGACGACACTTCAGCTAGTGGTTGCAGAACAAACGACCTTTCAAAAGTCATGCATATGACTACTAGTACATAATATAAATAAGTTCACTTCTACATTCTGTTTGAAGGCGACAAACAACAGACCCCTTCATAAAAGCAAAATATATGGAATGGCTAGAAAAGAGTATACTATAATACTCACGTACCCACACATTCAAGAGATGTGACATACACGACGGCCCTTCTCTTGGTATGTTAAAAAAAAAACAATCTGTGAGTATTTAAACCAAATACGCAGCTTTCACTCTTAGAGTCACTGTGTAATGTCACAATAAAATCCGGTATAAAACCGGTTTTCCAGGCATCACAAGAATTCATAATTTTTTATTTTAAATAAAAATTAAAATCAGATCACTCGGTAATTGCTGCGCAAGAGATTGCTGGACGTCTGATTAACGCATTGCCCATATTTGCAGACTTTCGGACAATTAAGGTTGAGATTGGAGTTTCTCAGCAGTGGGGATGGCACCTGGAGAGCTCGACCAGAAGGCGATTGCGATATGGGCCGCGATGCCAGGAGTCGAATATGAGCTATGTGTGTCGTTCGATCCAAACTTTGCGAATGCCGAATACAAGTTGTATGATGCTCGCGTCCATCCACTCGTGCAGCTGGCTCCACTTCCAATCGTCGCTCCAAGAACGGCAATCCAGTTTGACAAACGTCGAATCCTTGGTATTCCGCCACGGATGGCGCTCCCTGTAGGGCTTCCTGCAACTCTGTCGGTGGATTTGTACTCTTCATTGGTCTGAAACGTTCGGAGGAAGCACCGAGTCGGGTGTTGCGTGGCGTGGTCCATAACTGAGATGTGGACACCATCGTAGCCCTTGAGAATTCTTGGCGGCCAAGTGATCTTTGAGCCATCGGTTGACATGCCGCTCACGAAATTCGTTTAGCTCTGCAATGTAAATTTCGTGTGGAGCGTCGGCAAACTCGATGATGTGAATCTCTTCCGTGTCAGGAAACCATTCAAGATAGTTGCGTCGAGCGATTGGATCCTCGCTGTCTGCAAACGCGTTCCACTCGTCTTCCGTTGCGTGGCACACACGCACTGTACCGGTCGGCAGTGGAGAATGTGCCACTGCAGCTTCCAGAGCAGCGTTAATGGGATCGATGCTGGAGAGCAGAGGAGTCATTGACGCCGGTGTGACTGCGCCTGTCGCAGCGACAGCTTCATTGGGCGCGCGGTTGCTCCGCGTAGCTACTGCAGGTGACGAGTCTAAGTCCCCGCCCCCCCAAAGAAAGCAAGAATGAAGTTCGTCTTGTCCGTTCGTCGTCCGCTCAACATCCGCCATCGCACCGCTTCTACCCTTGCAGCCTGTCCGTCCGTCTGTCAATAAGTCCGTCCGTTTCCTTTCTTGCTGCTTTTTCCTGCCTTTTCGCATGACTACACTTGGTCTGTCTAATACATTTTAGTCCCTTCTTGCGCCTATCTTTCTGACTCGACCTAGATATGCCAAAACTACACAAATAGCCAAAACGCGGACACAATTAACTCGCGCCATGATTGGGCAATACCCGTCGACCTTCGACACTGACTGGATCTGTCGCACGATCCGACCGCCTCTCGCCCTCGCGATTGAACGTAAGGTAAACATTTCTGCCGTGAACGAAACACATTGATTGGATGCAAACAACCAGGCGAGCTGTGATGGTTGATTTCTTACATTTAGCTTCGCAAAACCTGTTGTATGTACTGCAAATCGGGCACAGTAACCACTTTATTTTGTAAGAGCTCTGCACACTTCTCAAATAGAGATATTTATTACTATAAATGTAGACTTCACAGACCAGTATTTTGTAAGAGCTCTGCGATGTTGCCGAAGCGTTGGCGTAGCTGGTACGGCATCTTGACTTCGACGGCTTCGCGTAAGCAATGTATCCACTCGTCGTCATTCTCCAAATATCCAAGCGCCAAAGCTGCTTGCTGATATGTAGGATGTTCCGTACCATCAACCGTTCGAAGATCCGCAAACGACTTAGGCGAGCGTCGGTTACACAGGCGAAGTCGCAAGTAGAAGCGTTCCGGGTCCTGCGGAGATTCGTGTACCAAGCGTCCCAGAGAAGCAACGTACTTCGTATATGGCTCCCACATCTTGTGTTCCGTCCACCTGTACTTCCGCGGCCCATCCTTGTACAGTAGATTGGCCGTATCTTCTGGATTACGCGCGCACAGCTTGAAAAACTCCGTCAGCATTGATCTGTCCCCGCGGTCAATCAAGTTGTGAAGCTGGGGGGGGGGTCGGCGCTTGGTCGCGATAAGCAACCATGTTCATTCTTTCCAAATGGATAGGTAGCGTCACAACAGAATGTGTTGATCCTTGTGTTGGATGCATGAATAGCCGCATGCAAGCTTCTACCGGAGAAATATACCTCCCGAGGAGATACTGAAGATTTTCGTTCGCCCGAATTTCTTCGCCTTCAATCGTGATTGTCGTCATGTCCGAGCCCTTGTAGACGTACTTGTAGATGTACTTGATGGCCTTGTTCGTGGCACAAACCTCGACGTTTATGTGGCAGTTGTATTTCTGCGACAGAAACGGATTGTACGGGACTACCCATTGATTGATGGTCGCGTTGTCCCATACTTTCCCCTTATGGCACAGAATTCCATCCGGACGGCGACCACGCTTGTACGTGGGGTATTTGTCGGGGGTCATCACCGTTTCGTCCGCGAGCGCCAGTGGAAACTTCTTGGAACACCTTTCGTTCTTCATGCACGGGCAGTTCGGGCTCTGTTGACCACAGGGTCCATGCAGCATATTGAAAATCACCGTATCGTACAGCTCGGGGTACTTCTCTTTATCCGGGAGCTCAGCGGACACCAGCTTATCGACGTCTTCCTTGGTAGTTGGCTTGTCCTCCGGATGCAGGATAAGCAGTATATGGGCATGGGGAAGACCACGCTTCTGATATTCCACTACAGGGACTCGAGCGGCTTGAGTCCCCAGTACACCCTCATCAAGATCCTTGTTAAGAGCTTTTAATTTCTCCATCAACACGCGAGCCACATTGTCCGGTCGGTCGGATGCTGTCTCTCCACGGCGTAAGTTTTCCTTGATCTCAGGCCAGTTCGGGTTGCATGTCATCGTAATGAACAGGTTCGGGGCTCCTGTTTCACGGACGATAGCCATGGCATCGAAGAAGCGTTGGTATAGGTAGCGGGGTCCACCTGTAAGCTTCGGAGGTATGATGATCTTGCGTCCAACCTCACCCACATCTGGCTCCGCTGACTCCTTGCTGTGGACCAAGCAGCTGTACATGGTAATTCAGATGCCGCATCGCGCTATTGCCTCTTGGGTACGTCAAAGCTGTTGCCTCATCCCTGTTGAGTGGTTTCCCAGGTCTGTTCGATACCGCCCAGCCCTTCAGGTCATGTCAGTAGTATGAACAGGGTGTCAGAGAGTGACCCAGCCCCTCACGGGGCTCACACAGCTCCGAAAATGTTTTAAAACTGTATATTCGGATGCTATGCTATTTAAGTGTACAGGCGCGAAGCTCACTCATGCTCTTAAAGTGTTTTTTGTCTCGATCTCTTGTTCTTGAGCTGTCCTTGTACTTGGTCTTGGGCTCCTTGCTCTTGTGAGACCGAGTGCTGCATTCCTTCCGTCCCGCCAGAAGTGCTCTCGCAAAGTGTGTTTTGATGTGGGAGCTCACACTTTAAGAGCACCTCTGTATTGCGGGACTAGCGCTCTGGGTGCCCGCTCCTCGGACGGTAGGGCATGGTTGGTTGGTGTAGTGTGGGCTGACCGACTCCGCTGCGCTGCGACGGATTAGTGAGCATTTCGAAATCAAAGCTAAATGTAATATATGCATTACGTGACCTACCAAGTCCGCATTCCAAAGATCTCTCTGTACACAATATTGTTGGTGTGTACGTGCCCGGCCTCATCGATGGCCTCAGGATCCACAGCAATCTTAATCGCCTTCCTTGAAGTCACTCTCGACAACGCCACATAAAGGTGCCCATGTGCGAAGACCGGTGATTCCAAGTAGATATCCACGTGATGGATCGATTGTCCTTGGACCTTGTTGATAGTCCTCGCGAGCGCTGGGACCACGGGGAACTGCTTACGCTTGAGTTTGAACAGGAACGCCTTGTCATCGTCCTCACTATAAAAGACGATCCGAAGAATGAACACCTTCTTACCCTCGAACGGCCCGGACATAATGCTGGCCTCGATGCTTCTCTCGCGCAGTGACACAACCCGAAGCCGCGTTCCGCTGCAAAGTCCTGCGTCGCTATTCAGGTTTCTAATCATGATGATAGGTGTTCCAACCTTCAGAACAATCCTGTGCGGAGGGATACCGGAGAAGTTAAGATGGTTCAAAAACTTCTGCTCAAAGATATTTGCATCCGCGCCTTCTTCGAGGCTGTCCACCGAGAGATACTCCTTCGTTTCATCTGACAGCGGTAGATATGACCAGGGTTTGATCTGCAGGTTGAGGACCATCTTACCCGAAAGGTTTTGTCTATAATCTCATTTGAGCGCATAGCTCCCAAAATGTCACGAATCGGAGGCGCGCGTGGTTGCAAATGTGATATATGCTGTGCAGAAGACGGGTCAGTATCAATGACGATCCCAAATTGGTATAGATAGGTAGTGAAGCTGGAGTAAATACACCTACTCAAACATAATACCATTTGGCACGTCATCGCCGTTAGGCAGTTGACACCATACCATCGATAGCGACGGCCTATAAGAGCAAGGTTTGGCCCGCTCTTCGCGTGAAGTATCTTTTAGAACAGGTAAATTTTGCCGATGGTCGCCACAAACAAATATATAATGACATGAAATTGTTCCGCTGAGCTCTTAATGATATTACTGAAGGTCTTTCCACTATTTGCCGCATGCATTGATCTTACTTGTAAAGCTGACTCACTCACTGACTAATTTGCGTAGCTACGGCCTGACCGAGTGGCGTGGATTTTTTCCGATTGACATTTACTGGTTCCGATATGTATGTCGAACATACGGAGCCACATGGCTGTAGACAAATTATCAGATCGTAGATATCTTAGCCTTGAATCGATAAGTAGCTCATGTACATTAGATGAAGTACTTTCGCTGTCTACCTAACAGCTCAACGTGCTATTTGATATGTCCGTGTATATCCGGCAATGTATCCAATGGGTGTGTGTCACGGTAACCAGCACCCATGCATTGAGTCACTGCTGTTCTCGATACTTTGGCATCGTGTTACTGTGCCTACGCTTCTAATGAATCAGTCTGTATGGCCAAGCGCGTCACTGACACGGGCATAGGTCACAACCGCGGTGATACAGGCAAGCTGACCACGCGTCTGTAGGTAGTAGACAGCGCGATATTTATGCGCGCGGCGGGTATACTTTGGCACCTTATGAAAATCCGCGACTCAACCGAGCTCTCATCTCAACCATTATGGACAGGACACTAAAGTACAGTACTACGTACAGCCACATCGCCTTGCGACGGCCACCTGTATGGTCATCACATCTGAGACGCTGCTTGTGGCTATGTAGGCAGCAACTTGTTCGTCGCGCATAGTGCTCACTTAATACTGTAGTTTACATTCGTGAGCGCACATTAGTGAAATATACGCTGTGAGCGTTGATGGTACAGATAGCATGGGTGTACGTGTGCCAAGTCAGCGAGTGTACTTTCCACTACCTTAACGCGTATGCAGATAGGGACGCAAGGGTACACAGTAGATATCATGAGCTAATGAGTAAGTGAAACGCGCAACGCTCTGTAGATGCGTCGACACAATTGGCAGCGTCATAGTCAATTCACCGTATGTGCGACCCCAAGCCTCGTACCGTCAGTCAGTATACTAAAACAAGATAAGGGTAGGAAAACTAGCGCTCTGGGCGTCCGCTCCGCGGACGCTAGGGCATGGTTGATTGGTGTAGAGAGGGTTGACCACCTCCGCTGCGCTGCGGTGTGCTTAGCGTTTCTACGTACAGCAAAGTAACATATAGTACATGTATACTGTGTTCTACTTATATTACGCTCCAAAACAACACCGCACACAGTATCCTGAGTGCTCACGTGTTATGGTAGATATGACCAGGGTTTAGCATGATCTGCAAGATGAGCACCATCTTACCCGGGAAGGTTTTGTCTATAATCGCATTTGAGCGCATAGCCCCTAAAATGACACCAATCGGAGGCGCGCGTGGTTGCAAAGCTAATATATGCTGTACGGAAGACGGGTCAGTATCAATGATGCTACGAAATATGCGTAGATCGGTGAGGAATCCCAGTGTAGCTAGCGTAGATACGCCTACTCACACATATTACCCATCTGCACG